AAGGACGACCATAATGCCCATCGCCTTACCAATCGCCTGAGCACTTTGTGACCATCAAAGCGAAGTCATTAATGGCATCCGGTCTGAGGGCTCCGCCCACCTCCATCTGCAGGAGCTTCGCCTGAAACACCTGCAGCACCGCCATGGCATGCAGCACTGACGCCGCCTCATCATCCGCTGCGTAGGCCTTGTTAGCGAGGTGGGCAGTGGTCCTGCACAGTTTAGACAGGAGACTGATGTCCGAGCCCAGGGTCTTGGCCGGTGCAGGGCATAGGTGCGAGGTGACGGATTCCTTGATGGGGGGAGTGCGCACGTAAGCACGGGCCTCCATCCCGTCCACGTGTGAGAAAATGGCCTGCGTGTTAGACTGGACGTGCGCCGATTGGGGCGCAGACCACGTCTTCACGAGCTGTTAGTGGACATCGGGGAAGAAGGGGGACCGACGCCCTCGAATCAGTTTGTCGGCGAGAGGATCTAAAATACCAGGAGTTAAGCTTACTCCCGGCAGGCTCCTTCGGAAGGCTCCAGGTAAGCTCGAGCTCCTGGACAGCTTTCGTCATGACCCTCACGAGCTCCTCCTGAAGGTCTGGGGGCCCCTCACTGTCAGGGCAGTCACGCTCCGATCCCACCCAATCCTCTTTCTCAGAGGCCGAGATGGACATAGAGTCCTCATCCTCTTCCTCCCCGCCGAACGACACTAAGTCTTCGATGCTCGGAGGTGAAGCCATTCTTCAGGTTGTATTGAATAAATAAGTGAAGATTCTGATGTAATTGTTGCGTGCACCGCATTTTATACTGCCTCTCAAGCTCGTAGTATTTGCACACTTCGCAACAATTGGCCAGTCAATTGGACTGGCGTGAGCCAATAGGACTTCAGGAAAGTTTGGAAGGGAAGGAGTTCCCATAGAGGAGAAACCTCCGCGATGTCTGGTGAAAGCTTGAAAGGGAACTACTGAATATTTTTTGGTAAATGTTCCATTGGTTTACATAAGAATATAACTGGTATCCATTTACCTCCCAAACCAATGTGCATTTATTATTCTTCCTGGAACCCTCATCATCTGAATCTTGAGGCTCTAAAAGAAACATGGAATGTCAGGTCAGCTCCTAATCACAGCTCAAAAAAGGCTGATCAATAAAAGTCTCCATCTTCCATCACTCCTAATTTCCCTTACCATCTCTCTTGGAATTCAGCTCATCCCATTTGATTCTATTCAACATCAGTCGTTTAAATTTCTTCTGTGCTTTGGGGCCTACAGGGAGTAAGGAGTCAATTAATACATGAATAAAAATTCTGAAAAAAATAATAATTATAATAATAAAAATAACCATCTGTGAAGAGAATCATATAATCCTATAAAGATTATCTAATCACTTTCACCCACCTCCCTCCACTACTATGATGTTGACGTCTTTGTGAAGTACCACGGTGCCAGTGAGGTACAGTTGGTTTGCATTGGCCTCCACCTTAAACTTCTTGGCTGGGTTGTGCAGATTTCTGATTCTGAAGGCAAAGCAGATAAACTATTTGAGTAAACAAATTAGCAAAAAAAAATTTTCTTCTTCTTCTACCCGGGCCAGTGATGCCACCTTGTGGAACAACTGATTAGTGCAGAACCAAGTCAATGTGCATGTGTGACCTGCGCACACAAAGTATGCACGGTTGCAAAAGTCAGATGGTGTGCGTACAGTACACGTGTACTGTTTTGTTATGCAGACCCTCGTGTATGCATTAGGGATGTGCATCTCATGACTCAGGCCGATACAATACGCATCTCGATGCATAGCCAACGATACGATACATTAAAGACACATATGAAGCAGCTACCGATGCGATGCGATACGATTCACCCCTATTACGATGCAGTGCGATCCGATTTCGATTCGATTCAACACAATGCGATTCGATGCAATATGATGCAATGGAGAAAATATGATCACTTTTAATGCCTACTCATTTGAGCTTAGTAATTAGTACTGTATCCTACTAGCTTACATTTGATTTACCTATTACAATAGTCCCTTTACAGTTACTGCTATCATAAAAATACACTTTATATGTAAGTTTAAAATTCTACAAAAGACACATTTAATGTCCAAAAACTAATTTTTTAGCAAAATGTATATTTTACTCAGAATTATTGCACTCCTATTTGATTGCACTCTGTCTGTTTAGCGCGCAGCAGCGCTCGTTCACTCGCATCAGCCTCGCCCACCCCTGACAGCAAAATGGATTTGTTGCATGACTTTCTAACATTTACAGATGAAAAATATACTTGTGACATGTCAGTTATGCACTGAGGAAAACACAACGTCTCAAATGCATTAAACAGCACAGATATATTCGCTGTTTGTCATGGTGGATCGATTTGATCCATGATCGACATTAAGGTCTGCTTAAGAATAAGCGTGCACAAATTAGTGAGATTGTGTGAACTTAATTTGTCGTTTATGGAACCGCTTTAGCCCCGATTGATTTGTTAGGTTATTTCAAGTCAGGTTTTGGACTTTAATCCCAGTTTTTCCTCGGGTCTCCGTGGTGTTGTGATGCGTCATATTCACGCAGCAGCAGCGGGGATGAGAGAGCGCGCTTGAGAAACAGTTTAGAGGAGAAATCAATCTACATATAAAATATTGGTCACAGATTATTGGTCACTTTCTAAATAATAAAAGTATAGCGCATTCACTAGTAATTATATATAAATGAATCGGTTTTTACCGATGCAAATATGTTAGAAACGATGCATCGCGATATAAATGACAACTTGTAGCCGATGCACACTTTTTAAACCGCATCGTTAACTTTTTATGCCGATGCACCGAGCGAATCAGGGAATCTTCCCATCCCTAGTATGCATAAATCCGAAGAATACTTTGGCCTTTAGTCTGTGGTTTACTCAGTGTGTGTGATAGTACTGCATTTTAATGTAAGATTTGAGCAGATTTGTCATGTTTTATACCTGTAAACAGCAATGTGAACCCCATGACTCAAATCCTCCTTAAGTTTCTTCACCTTCTTCTCTTTCCTTTGTTCTGCTGTGAGTTTGCGTGCTGCATTTGCCTCCTCATGGGCTCTGAACAGACATGGTGAACATCACACTATGCACAAAATGCATCAAACCAAACAAATGACAGTTCTTCTTTGAATGGGATACTGTATTTTCCCCGAATATGAGTCACTTTTCTTGAATCATCGGAAATGAAAAGCATCTTATATAAATGCAATTAAAGTCAAGCAAACCAAACACACGCACATTTGGATTGCCGAATGAAAGCATGTGAAACGAGGTACATAAGCCCAAGTTTATTGGTCTATTGTTTCAGTTTTCCTTTAAATTTGTTCAGGCTTGGTGCTTATAATAAATGTTGTTTATAATGTATGCTACTAAAATTGTTTTTTTATTTTTTTACTTATTTTTCATTACTGTTCTGAATACCTTTAAATGTGTGGATTTATTGTGGAGTGAGGGGAACTAAAAATACATGTTTATAATGCGTGTAAACAACTCATTTTATTCAACAGTATTTTACATTATTTCTGAGTATAATAATAAAATGTGACTGACAAATTTATTAAAAGTTTAACAAATATTACATGTTTAGGGCCCTATGAAATGTTTTATTTTTCCAACCTTGTTTTATTGTAACCAAATTCTGTTTTAGCATGTCTAATTATTTGAAAGCATATAATATTATAATTAAAACATTGAAGAAATATTGAATGCTTATTCCTTAAAATAAGGTTTTAATAATTTTAGTATTAGTAGTAGCAGCCTGTTACGTACATTCTACTCAACAATAGAAATATATTTCTGCCAATGCCCTCAAGTTAAACCAAACTTTTATTCTGACGGGTTGCCGTGAATACCTTTACATTTCTGTGTGTGTATGACATGATGATAGTTTTACTCAAATGAAACGGTCAAATGCTCATGA